CTTCTTTGCAGCTTATGCAGAAGTCATCAAACTGATTGTCCTTTCCTACTAATTCTTTTCCTATGAGATGATTTTTAAGGCTCTGATGCTAAATACAGTTCAGTCATCATGGCTGGGCTTCGCGAACGAAGATTTGGGAAGGCTCTATCCACATTTGCTACAGGCACGCTGGTGGCTTATGAGGCCAATACGTGACAGACATATCCGATTGCAAAAGGCACAACAGAAAGATTCCTTAGATGGTGTATTCTGCAATACACGGTTCTTTCTGCGCTGCCTTTTTTCCTCAAAGTGATCCTGCGTGTGTTCTCGAAGGAGACAGCTGCGTTATAGATGGTGTGTCTCCAGGCCTCCCGATTTGAGGCCAGAGAAGACCAGTTATGGTGATCAGTATGGCCAAGGCTGAGATGTTGTTTCAGGGAGTCCTTGTATCTTTTCTTCAGGGCTCCTCTCATGCGGCAACCAGTGGCAAGTTCACCATAGAGTAGGATCTTAGGGAGGCGGTGGTCCTTCATCCTTTAGACATGCCCTGCCCATCGCAGCTGCGTTCTCAGTAACATGACCTCAATACTTGTGACAGCTGCTTGCTCTAGAACAGATGTATTGGTCATATAATCTGACCAGTGGATGTTTAAGATTGAACGGAGGCAGCGTTGATGGAAGCGCTCTAGGAGACGCAGGTGGTGGCGGTAGATGACCCATGTTTCGGAACCATATAAGAGAGTGGACAACACTATGGCTTTGTAAACACTGATCTTGGTGCTTTTCTTCAAGTGTTTATTACGCCATACTCTTTTGTGGAGTTTTCCAAAAGCACTGTATGCCTTTGCTAACCTGTTGTCTATCTCTCCGTCGATCTTACCATCTGAGGAGATGAGGCTACCTAGGTAATTAAACTGTAGCATCCGATTTTTTTACCGTGTTAATGAAAAAATTTAGGTGTAAGAGCCTTTTGTACACTTTACTACTCTTTTTTTATCCTAAAGAGAAGTCACAAGAAATAAAATTTTCTCAGATTTTGGCTCATACTGCAGCTCTTTCCTTTTTCCATCCATTTTACAGTATCCATCAGAACTAGCCGTGGCAATTCAGTCATGATCTCACAAACATTGACTTGTTGTGGACATATGATTTAAATACACTAGCTTTCAAATAAATTCTCCTGATTTCTTATTTTTTACCCACTATCTTCTCTATCTGGGTTAAATCCAAGTGTATGTTAGTCATATGGATCACTGATAGTGAATGACAGTCTGGAGGTGCAAGAAAATTGTTTCTCATGCTACTGCTCAGAGAACAGTGGGGTAGGTAGGTCAGGGCTATATCTTTGCTTAAAAGCACAGAAAATTCTGTTTGAGAAGGAGCACAGCAGCCCAGAAAGCTTAGGGCTCAGTGTGTTCTTGACTAGCCTCATTCCCGCAGGGAAGCAGTGTACCAGGTATGGTTTCCTTTACAAAAGCAGAGAGAGCACTTACTTCAGTCCTAACCTTATGGTTATTGAAAATTTTCTCCTCCTATCCAGCTAAAGTTTTCTCTTATGCATCACAAGCTAAGCATTTCTGATTTCTAAGAAACTTTCCTTTCCATCAGTAGTGATAGTATAGAGAACAGGAACCCATCAATCTTTATCCAGATCATTTGGTATCTATTACTGAACTGCTAGACCAATAGATCTATAGAAATGTGCATTTCCACCTAAGTATAATGAATATAAGTAGACATGTAAGTCTAAATTTTCCATATTTTGAAGTAGGAAGCTACAAACATAAAACATAATTTGGAAATAGAACACACAAAGATTTCCTGGGATTTTCTTCACGGCTTCTTGCATTCCTGTGTCACCACCAGACAGTTTTTTAAAAGAGATAGGTATTTTCTCTTTATTGCCAAAACCCGGCTCTTCTGAAGAAGGGATTGTGGTAACCAGCCTTGAGTCAGTGCATCTTTGTCAGGAGGATGAAACAAAGAACTGAGACAGATCCTTTTTCCTCAGCAAGAGCTACAACATCTTGTCTATTTGCCTAAAGACAATTACCTCTGTCACGCTGGCACCGTATGAGGGATCCAGTCCTGCCAACGTGACATGGGTACACAGAACGGCAGGTTTCAGACACTGGTTTCTAGGTCTTATGCAGAGTTACTTAAGATGGTAGCTTTTGATTTAAAAATCTGAATTTGCATAAATGCATAAATTTAGATATATCCCTTGTTAAAAATTTCTCTTGTTAAAAAATAGCTCCTATACTTCCCTGGAAATATATTGCCTGAGTCATAGCTGTGTAATATCTACATATGCAATTTTCACTTGCAACATGTAAACCATTTCAGTTCAGTCCATTAGAAATTGTATCTGAAAGGGTACACTATTTATTCAAGTTAGGCAATATGTTTTTAGCAAAAAGATACAATTTTGTAAGAAATAAAGGATTATATTTCAATTTTTTTTCCAATTTCCTTGAAACCCTTACACCTTCTGTTTTAGTCAGTCAGGGTCACTATATACAGCAATTTCAGTAATAAAAAAAAAAATATCTACAATATACCTGCTTCTACTTCTGTTACAATAAATAGGAGCTTGCTTTCTTTTTCACTTGCTGGAGACCCTATAAATTATGCTGGTTCCCAACTTCTGTGCACCTTGCTTCTGTAGGAATTGGACTACAATAAACAATTCATAATGTCACTAACAGACACTTGTAATTCTTATAGCATTTACCCAAATCAGTGTTGTGTGGCTTCCTCAAATGTTTTGTATTTTAAGCAAACTAAGCAAGCTGAAAAAAGCACTTAAATAAAAGCTGTAGGGGTAGAGAGAGCTATGAAAGAGGATTTCTGAGGTACATATTCACTGAAATTAAGCTCAGTTATTGAACTTCTCAGAAGATAATGGGTCAGATTCTGTCAGGTATTTTCTATTCGTGTAAAGTTTGTACTCAAAGCAAGCAGACATAAACTACAGAATAAAATAGTAATGGGCATGGCCTTGTAGTAAGAATAAATCAAGTCATTCACTATGCTTTAAAATAATTTAAAATACTCTCTCAAAACATCTTTCAACAAAAAACATGTTTTCAAAGGAATGTTAATTTTGATTCCTGATATCATTTGACTAAATTAGTATTTTTTGTGCAAAGATGCTCGTCTCATTTTGATAGAAGCAATTCCCGCTTTCAGTTTCTGTTTATCCAACTCTCTGTCTGAAATGACTGAAATAACTCATATCAATGCTTTTTATTTTTCAACTTATCAGAAAATAGGAAAAGTTAAAAAGGTCAATGTTCCTTTTGGTCACTGGAAAAAGTATTCTTAAAAGAATAAAAATATTAATCTTTTCGAAGCTTAAACTTTTATAAATGATTGTATTATCTGTATTTATTTCCTTTGTCAAAATTGTTCAAAGTTCAAAAATAAGCCATTAGAAAATTAGTCTCATTTTTCTTATAGGTTATTAAGAGTTTAATTAATGATACATTATAGAATTACTCCTCTGCATTGTTTTTCCTAAAATATTTGTTCAAGATAAGAAGCTGTAGTCAAAAAACTTGACTACTTCAGCTTCTGCTTAGGCTATACAGAAACATCTGTCATTGGAACATGATTTTGTTCATTTATTTTAACCTACCCTGGGTTCCCTACTCTTGAATTAATTAACTTGTGCAGGCGAACACTGGCATAAAAACTGATTAGAGGACTGAGGCCACTCTTAATCTCTATGGCACCTCAGGTGTGAATCCCAGCTCTTCTGATTATTTTACTTATGTTTTATTGCCCTTTAACTGCCTCATCACAAAGTGCTTGCTCTGGATAGCAGAGACCATCACTGTGCCCTCACCAAGATACAGGAGCTTTAGCTGGGATGTGGGTCTGGCCCTGTGTTTTCCAAAAAGATGAATTTCTCTTCTTAAAATACAGAACGATATGCAGAGATAGAGCCTTTCTTCACACCCTGGGCTCTGGCCTTTCTGCAGTTGCTGCAGTCACTGGGCCAACTGGGACAAGCTGGAAGGAGCCAAGACTGTACCTTCAGGAAACAGGGCTGACTTATTTTTATAGAATCATAGAATGGTTTAAGGGACCTACCTTAAAGATCATGTAGTTCCAGCTCCCCCCTGCTAAAGGCAGGGAGGCCACACTTTAAATCAGGTTGCTCAGGGTCCCATTCGACCTGACCTTGAACACTTTCAAAAAGTATTTTTAAAATACTTCAGAACAGCCTGTTTGTTTGTCCGGGTACCCCTGCTGTCTCTTTAGACAAGTGTTTGGATTCAGCCAGCTGTCACTTTTGGCCAAGACCCTCATTAGCTGCCAGACCGCTGTCACAAAAATCCTGAAACAACTTCTCCCCTTTTAATTGGATTATTTAAACAATGTGCTTTACCACTTTCTTCCTGGCGTGGCCTTCAAATCCTGCTCCCTTGACTTTGCCCATTTACAGCACAAACCATTGGTGGCTGACAGGAGTTCCCTGCTGATGGACGTTCAGCCATTCCTCCTCCCTCCCCTTGTCCCTCGTCACATCTTTTCCCACCTCTGAGCTGTCACCACCTTTCCCTAGGCTGTACCAGGGAGAAGAGGAGAAAATTAATTGTGTCATTTTAACATAACATCTTTCTACAATCATAACCCTGGAAATGTTGCCTCCTTGCAATTACAGTGAACTTGCACGGGTGCAACTTCATTTATTTAAATAGCCCGACATCTGATTGACACATGCAAGTATGTGAGCAGAATCTTGGCCTACACCTTTGTCACTGTGAGTTATTTCAAATGTAAGAACATTATTTACTACTTCAGTTACATAAGGATAGATATAACTAGACATATATTGCTGCTGTCACTTCTCCCCAAAAATACAGAATTAATGAGCTCTGGCCAGGCACTCCTGGCTTCTCTCAGGTTTGTTTGGTGGAGGTTTTGGGGGCAATATGTGCATCCCTTTTTTTTTCAGTAGTTAAGTTTTAAATTTATTATAAAACTTTAGCTACAGGTTATTTCTCAGACGATAACATGATTTTTTTTTTTTACTAGAAAGCTCCTCCTTTTCAAACCTGGCCTGTGGAACAGTGAAGCTGTTTTCTTGTATTTTGCTGTGTTTGTAACTGGATCCATTCAGCCCTGAGACTACAGACTTCCTTTGTTCCTTTGTTGCATTCAAAATCCCGCTAAAGGTAAAAGGAAACTCACAAGCCTGGGATTTATTGCTAAGTGTAGATGAAAACTTCACAGTCAAAACGAAGAAATATTAGTCCTGATTTAAGAGAAAAGAAAGGAAAAGAGAAATAAGTAAGAAAATTAAAGGTTCAGATTTCATAGTATCTGCATCTTGATCTACTGTTGTATCATGTCACATACCATGGTAGTTGGTTTCGATCAGGGTGGCCAGGAGCATTACAGCATTCTGTTTTTTACCAGGAGGAGTACAACTTTAATACTGATGGTTTCCTTTTCCTTACTCTAGGGTCCACTTGCATTTGTATTCTTCCTCATCCTTTCTATACCTTGTATATTCTTTACTGATCTAAAATACTACATTAAATCTCAATTTATATGGAGCGTGAGTTACCCCAGATACAAGCTCTTTGTTTTCTCTTACCCTTGTAGCTGGTTGTGCTCGACTCCCTAAATTGACATTTCTGCAGCTGATGAGCTGCAGGGACAGGGATGCAGATCCTCCAGTGCCCAGCTGTTATGACACCATGCCATGTCTATCCCACACAGCATCCCATGCCTGTGTTCCAGTTTCCAACACCTTGATCTCATTCCATCCCTATACTCTACTCCATATCATGGCACTGCACAAATGTTTCATTCTACATAAAAAAGCTACTTCTTACTAGTATTAATTTAAATTTAGTTATAAAAATCCTATATAAAAGTAAGACAAATTAGGTCATAAATTTCATTTTAAAACTGATCCAGCTAACAAAGTGAAATAAAATTCCCAGCAGGCCAAGAAAAGCCTAGACCATAAGTTTGACAAGTTCTACTACTGAGACCTTACAAGATTAGTACAAAGTACATCACTCTTGCAAACATAGTTTTCTGCCAGAAAAAAAACCCAAACAAATGAAATATTACGTACCAGTTCTACACTTTACAGAGCAATGTACTATAACACAGCCCCCCAAAAATACCTTTTGAGCAGTGACTGACTACATAAGCAGCTTAACTCATCTCAAATAATGTATGTTATGAACAAACAGAAAAAACTAAATGGAATTGTTAGCTTGATATGGTACCAAATATGTTGGTTGTGTCCTGGTTTTGTCAGATATATTTTTAAGAAACCAACTATCAAAGCTATTCCATCTAAATAAAATTTGAACACTTCATTATTACTTGTTTGGAAAATTTTTTTTGAACAATAAATCTGAACAGTCTGCATCAAACAATCATATACCACATAAGTGGGGCATATTTTGGTATGTTATATCATCTTAATATTTCTTGCTGGATATTTTCTGTTTTCAGTTCTCCATGTTTCTTTCGAATTCATAAATAAGTACTTAACAACTGAGCATTAGATATATATAAGATTACTATAGATTCACAGATGAATTTTAAGAAAATTATGGTTTATTAAGAAGTTTGGGGTTTTTAACACGTATATAGCCAGCACAGAAACTAGATGAGTTGTAATACCTTTTGTTTCTGTCAAAAATAAAAGAACAGAAAGGTTCTGTATGATCCTATTTAACATTATGTTACAGTACTGGTCAAGATATTTATACCTGATAGAATTGAAAAATATGTCAAAATTAGCTGAGCCTAGATGGTCAGGTAAAGCTCAGAGAAGAGAACTTTAAAATGTAACATTTCAAAATGAAAAACGTAAGTGAAACTAATATCAGTTTTGGCATTTGAAAACTATTTCTTTCAGTAGATAACCTTATCTTGTTGCAATTTGAGCCAAACAAAAATAGATTTTTAAAAATTTTTTTTTAAACTGCTTGTTGGGGAAGTTGGAGGTTGTTACGTAAAGGATAAGCTTCCTTCATGTTTTTTTCCAAATGGAATGAGTGTTTTCCCTTCATTGTTTTGGCAAATTTTATGGAAACGAATGTTATTGAAAGGATAATATTTTTAACTTAAAAAACCTTCATTTTATTCTTTTGAAATCTAATCATATTATACATATTTTATAAGAATTCCAGAAATATTTCCATTTTTCTAAGAGAAATTAAGAAGAAGACATAGAAACTTCATTTCCATTTTATGAATCAGTGAAGTAATTCTCAGCTAATTTGCATAAGTTTACTTGCTTTTTCTATGTGAATGAAAATAATTTGTACCAAATTTAGAGAATGGATTATCTCAGAAATTAAAATGATTGTCTTAATTTTCAGTTCTTCAAGAATCCAGAAAAAAATATTTTACAGTTATTTTAATTTAGATACTAGAGTATGGAAAACAATAAGTTAGGTTCATATTTTATATAATTTTTTCTTACCATACTAAATTATAAGATGATGGTGATAGAGTGTGAATGTTGATGTCATCTAGTTCTTTATGATATTTTCTTTGTGATCCCAGTAACTGTAAATTTCTGATTACTTTTGGAGCTTTAATCTCCAAAATTAGCATAATATCAATTTTTTTTTCTTCAGTTTTAGGAATAAGCCTTTATAGTTTCTCAGCATTAAGGACAGTTTCTCTCATAGTCTTAATCTAGCTGTTTAATACATGATCAAGCTCTCAGTCTCAACCAAAAATATTTGAAATTTCCTATTTTCCTAGTGTGCATTAGCTGATCTATTTCTGTTTAGTCTATGTATCTCTGAAAAGAAAAATCATATTTTTCTAACAAAAAATCAAAGTCACACTTCTGCACATAAATGCTCTGACTTCTCCAGCTCTGTTCATAAAGGTGGGTCAGTATATGAAAACATATGGAAATGGTCTGGTATCTTTCAAAGCTCAGAGCTGCTTCATTCACACACTTAAAATGTACTTGCAAGGTTGCAAGGAAACTCTCCACAGTGCCACCCAAAGCTATGGCTGCTGCTACTCTTTCCATTGCGGGGTCTCTCCTCTTGCTACTGTTTATTGTGTTTCTTTTCTACTTCTTTTCCAGCTAACCCATTCTTTGTTTCAGTCTCTCTGAAGTTCCCTGGTTACCCTTTAATCCTTCTGTGGTCATCTTCCTCTTTAAATAGGAAAGCAAACACCTGGAGCAAACACCCTCCAGACAGTTCTCTGTATTCAATCTACATGCAGTGTCTGCACTCACAGCCTGATCTTTACACTACTGCTATACAGGCCACTCAGGAGTGGTGGCCATGCAGGCACCCACAGTATCTTTCTGTACTTCAAAAAATTGAGTTTACACTTAAATATCTCTCATAATCAACAACAACAACAACAACAAAAAAGGTTATCACTCCTATTGGAGTTTATACAAAAGCATGTGAAATGCTGTAAACAAAGAAGCAAGACCTTTTTGTCTCCAGCTTTCAAACAGTATTGATGATAATCATGTTTCCATACCAAACGCCATTACTAAATTTAACTCTATAGGTGTGTTTATAAAAGTGCTTGAACCTCTATGTAGTCTACATTTGGCTCTTGATTCTTTATAAAAAGTCTTTTTTTTTTTGTTTTAGGGATGAAAGAATTTTATGGAGTTTTATTAGTTGTTTGATTGTTTGGGTTTTTTGGATTTTTTTTTTTTTTTGTCTAGAGGGTAAAAATTAAGTATATGAAATATTGAAAAAATAGAAACATATATTATGTTTCAAAGAAAACCCAAATAATTATAAGATAAACTGTTTTGCATTTCAGTACTTATGTAGCATTACTTAGTGTTTTCAGAACTGCCAGTGCTTTTGGTTTTTTTTCATTCCCACTTTTCCTGACTGCTGATTAGTTACCATATGCTCAGATAAAGCCAAAAACCTCTAGCAGCTGAACAGGTGTTCTATGCAGTGCGTGTGTTAAGGAATTTTTTTGCATATGAACAATTACTTGTTTTCAGAGTTTCTCCTTTTTAGCATCATTTAAAATTTATTAGTAACAGTAATTCTGGTACTCTACAGTTCTCCAAGTTTTGTGGCAGGTAGATATAAAGTTTTGCTGACTCTATGAATGTCTATTGTTTATATTTAACTAGATAAGACTGTGAATTACTGAGAAGAAATACATGCAACAGGAAAAAGAGCCAGGTACAAAGGTCTTCCATTTCTTCCACAAACTGATTTCTTTTTTCTGTCTCAAAAGTCCGCATCCCTTTGGATTGGAGAGAAAAATTTAGGAGAAGGTGCTACTGAGCTAGTTGCATAAACTAACTTCTGAAAGATTTCAGGGATAGATACACTATTGTTGTCTGATATCTGAAGAGCCACAAAATGTTTTCTGGCTTCCAAGACCCAGTGCTCATCCAAGGAACAAAAGGTATTTTGCTTATCAATTGCAAATCCAAAGGTCACTTTCATTTTATTATCAATAGCTACATCATAAGGTTGATTATTATAAAACTATCTTTCAAATTTTTCTGGGTTTTTAACTTTTTTCTTTTTCCTTTTTCCCTTTTTATCACAAAGAGTAATAGCATGCAAGAACTTCTGTAATTTACATCTCACAAGACAAATTGATTGTTACATAAAAAAATTTGCAGCAAATCATTTCTATATGACATCAAAGAAACTATGTAGAACAACTCTTTCAAATAACTTTATTTCTTTGTCTCAAACTTTTTTAGTCTGCTGTCAATACAAGAACCTTTCTAATGCAATTACTTCGTGGAGTTTTAAGTATTAAAGATATGAAGGACAGAATTCATGTTGCTGTTTTTGCTATTATTTTTATTACCTTGAAATATTTTCATTAGAACATTATCTTGTATAATTCATGCAATATATCTTCTTTAAAAATGTGGAATAAGGCCCTGCACCTTATTGTTTAAATTCCTGGGTTTGTTTTGTTTTTCCTGTAGTATCCAAAAAGTGATGATTTTTTATAAGATTAGCTGTCCAGATCCATTCACAAGACTGTGAGAAGCTGGTCATGAGGATGTGCATGCAAAAATTCTGACAGCATGATTGAATACTATATTTAGATTCTCTGAGTCCTTCATTATTTTGGTCATATTTTTTACTGAGGTAAATGATAAGTTAGAATTTCAAAATATATTTTTTTTGTTTTTTTGTACTAGGAGAGAACAGAAAACTTCCCTCCTTAACAGGAAAAAAATAACATGAATTTGAGGGATAATGAAAAAGAATTCTAAATACTTTTGGCATTCATGTTAAT